TGTGTGTGTGTGTGTGTGTGTGTGTGTGCGCGTGTGTGTAAAACAGTAAAAGAAAAAGATAGATTGAAAAAGATAGAAAGACAAAGAGTGTGATGTGAGGGGCTTGAAGAGTAGGGGTAGAGATAAAGAGAGAAAATTTAATGACATAAGCTATAAATAGGAAGAGAAACAAAGAGTAAAGAAAAAAAATGAAGAAAAATATTTGAGGCAATCAAGTCCTTATGTAATAGTCTTCATCAAAAATCTATTGATACTGACCGCTGGACAGCTTTATCATGTCTGGACAGCCTGTGACTTGTAGTTGGTACCTCTTCAATTTCATCTATCTCACACGCATCTGCAGCATCTTGTGAGTAGCTATGCTTCATAACAAGGATATTTCTCCTGTTCATGGGCTGGATGAGAGGCTTTACAGGCTGGGGTTGTATTTCTGTCAAGATAGAAGCATCTCTTGTGCTGAGGTTACTACGGCTTCCCTTAGTGCTAGACAACTGTGATCCACAGTGATGGTCATGAATGCATTTTGAAGATGATCTCCGCAGTTTATGATAATTTTCAAAGTCATCTGCAACATCAGCAAGGTCAGCTGTAGGCCCTGTCCCTCTAAGAGTGCATAACTCATAATGAGGAGGCTCAAACACCTCCTGGAATACTGTTTGATCAAAGTCTGTTTTCCTTTGGACAAATTTTTTACGAGGCTGTTTGATCTGTACTATAACAGAGATAATAATGAGGATGATCACAATGCAAGAGGTCACCCCAATTATAGTGCCACTGGTATTGGTAAGTTGATCCAATAGGTTAGCTTTTCTTTTTTCTGTGTGACAGAAGAAAATCACAGTGTTAATCTCTGATTAAAAAATAAACATGATGGTTTTGAGGCCTGCCAAGTGGTAAGCAGGATGTAGCCCAAACTCAAGCATATAAAAGAAATGTCAACTTTCTCAAGCTGCTGCTAAAGTTATCCCCAATCTCCAGTCTACTCCAAAACAAATCACAAGTCTGTTACTTGACACTCCTCTTTTACTTTGCTTCCCCATCACTAAATATATGTAGTAAGGCATTAGTAGCCTATTTTACTGTGCATTAGAGAATTATGGCAAAAACTGTGCTAATAGGCTTACACACAGTAAAACTGGACTACAGCATATTAAGCATCACTAAAAATACATACACTTTCACTACTGTGCATTAGGGCAGCCTAACAGGCATTTAGTTAGTACCTCACATTAGAAGTACTAAATTTAATGCGCAGTAGCAAAAGCATATTAATGAACATGTAGACACGTCCACTGAGAAGTAAGTCAAGTGAAACAGCAGTGGTTTACAGGATTAAAAAAATAAATACTTCTTTGCCCTGGAACTCATCTGAATGCCTAATACTAATGCACTGACTGGAACTGCTGACAGAATTCAAAGATTGAGCTGAATCAGGAGAAAACTGATAAGATTTTCAGAAAAATAATCCCATATAACCCATTACTTGTTTTATCCGCCACAAAGTACATATCCAAGTTAATTAATACAACTCTTCAGAATACCCTTAGCCTAAGCACAAAGGCTGATTACCCTTTATGTAAAACAGATGGCAAGATATCAATCTATCCCTTGGTTAGAAAAACTTTTAAAATATCAGTTTGCTTGGCATTTAAAATCCTCAGAAGACTCCCAGAAACACAATGCAGCTTCATCCCTCTTTTCTGCATAATTCTCTGTGGGGTTTTTTCTAATTCATAGATGCCCAGTGAGCTGATGACTGAACTATGAGAGCTGAAGCTAAAGTGGAGGGTTCACACCTCTTTGTAACAGGTCTTTCAGGATTATTATATTTACTATGAAAGTGTGATATAGCCTTAACTTTTAATTCAGCATATTTTTTTACTGTCCCTTTAATGCATAATAGAGTGACATACAGTTGAAATAAAAAGCATTCCCACCAAAAAAGTAATACACCTGCTTGCCCAACAAACACTTTCCTTGCAGTCTGTATGATGCTTAGAAGGCAAATTTCAAGCCCTTGTGTTGGTACAGCAGATTGGTATCGGGATCCTCCAACTGACTAATGAAGAACTGGGAAAAGCAGTAGCACCAGATTAAAAAAAAGCCCAGCAGCACAGCAATCAGCTTATTTGCTGGATCTGACCAGCAAATCTGCTTCTCTACTAAGAACTATAATGGTGAATAAATAAACACAGGACCTAATGGAAATGATGCAGCTTCAGCCTGGCATTTGGTAAAAGGAAGATGCAATACTTTCTAGAAACAAATGAGAAGTTAAATGGTTTTTTTCCACTGATAAAGTAAAAAGGGAAAATTAGACTATTCTTCCCCAATTGTAAGCTTAGTTTCTGTGAGGAATATTATTTCTTTTAACTGTTTTGCTGTGTTCTTTTGCAGCACAAGTTCATTTATGGTTTACTTCATTTAACGGCTTGTCAGGATTTTACAGGCTTCAGCAGATTTATAGGCTGGCTGCTAATCCATCTCATTTTGAATTTTTTTTCTTGATTGGTTCCTAAATTTGGCATCTCTCTTGTTTCCAGGAACAAATCTGCAGTAACAGAAAAAAGCAAATAGTCTCCATAGCCTGTCATAAGCGTCAGCTAAGCCTTTTCCTCTGAAGGAAACTTAGATACGGAATTTTTATTTTTCTTCTTTTTCTTTTTTTTGTTTGAAAGTAGAGAGTGCCACCTGGAAACTATTGTCCAACCTGGTCAGGAATGTCAATGTCTTCATGAATGAAACATCATGCCTGGTTTACAATGTTAGTTCTTGACATTTTAAGTTGACTGGTAGATTATGCGTGGATTTGTCTGCTTGGTACAGGATTTTTCCTGCTGCATCTTGGATTCCAAAGTTGTTATTATAGGCAAGAGTCTAAAAAACAGCTGTCTGTTCCTACCAGCTGCCACTTTTAAAGTTATCTATACAAATTTCACCCGTGGGAAACAGACAAAATTCCAAATATATGCAAAGATAGGCTACTGAGTCCAAGAACACGGCAATGGGTCATAACATATATAAGCAAGTCAAAGCAAAAGAAACACTAACAATTTATGCATGTTCACCCACATTTTCACCTGTTTTCTTTTTGTCATTTATTTTTGCTCAGTCCTGACCCAATCTGGCACCTGGTTAAAAAGTAATTGGGGATAATGGTGGTCTATGATCTCAACATCCCTGTATGGTCTATCATCTCAACAATTCCAATTCTGCTTATTACCTTTACAGTGGTTTTCATCCCAAGGATACACACAGTTCTGAAGTCCATTGCACACCAATGTGTTATTAATACACATATTACTATGGCAAAAGAATGCGTTGGATTCACAGGGAGCTAAAATAAAATGGAGGAAAACATATGTTAAGTAGAAAATCCTTCAGCACTCTATATTCAAACATATATGAATGATAATGCAACCTTAAATAGTAATGAACTATATGGCATGGGTTTCTCAAGAGCAGTAATTAATACAACTGTTAGGTATATTGCTGATACAGACCTGAAGACACATGAACAGCTTATTAAACTGTGGTTCGGGGTTCACAATCATGTTTAAACTTAGTGAACTCTTGCCACAATTTTTAAATTTTATCTTATCTGCAAAGAATTCAGATTAGAATGTGCAGAAAATCTGTTTTATATAAATACTCGTGCCAATGAAAGAAGATATCTATCTATGTATGTACTTATGGGAACACTTACTTTCCAAAAGATATCATATACTTTGGAAATATTTTGATAACAAAGAAAATCCACAAAAAAAATTCACCCTTCTGTTAAAGGTTGAACAAAGATTGAACAGTTTTGCCATAAGGCCCACAAACTGGTAGAATTAGGTCACTAACACTATTAAAGCTGTGGAGTAAAAAGTTGTACTGAAGGTCATAAGCTATTGGTTTGCATATAGGCAACCACAATTCCATCATTATGAACTACATGTGGTGATAAAGAAACTATACAGCTCAGTTTTTGACAATTTTCAGGTACTGGGATGGCAACAATTCTTCTTCAAAATGACTTAAAATAGTACAAATAAAAGATTTACTCTTACATTTTTAAGATTTTAATCAGTGTTTCATAGCAGTAGCTATATTGACATTCCTTGTATTAAAAGACAGTGCTATCATAATTTTTAAATAGCTTATTTTTAATTAAAGCCGAATGTAATCAATGCTAATGTACTGGTTTAAGCATTTCTTAGAGGTTAAACAACGCATAAAGCATTCAATATAATATTTGAAAGTTGTCAAGTGATCTAATGATTGATTTGATTAATGTGAAAGAGGAACAATAAAGACTTTTGAAAGTCATTTCTCAAGACAGTATTTGTCCTATGCTGGCATTATTATTATTATTATTATTATTATTATTATTATTTCGGTCTTATGGTAATGCAGATGCATAATGTTGAAAAAGCTGCATTTTAGGGAATTGTAAAGGGCTGCTTCAGTGACTGCAAATGAGGAACAGATTTATCCTGTAGAACTTAATGGCTCCATATATCATGTAAAAAAAATCCACTTTTAAAAATGTGCCTAAATAAAAATTTCCATAATCGATTATAACAGCTTCTTCAGAGCTGTTACAGTTTAATAAGCAAATAATGAATGTTAACAAAACTTGCACATTTCCCAAATGCATAGTCACCCAGTAGAATATAATAGCTGTAATATGTATCTTCAAATTTACTGCAAGCATCAAAAGCCACTTAATTATCCAATAATTGAAATAGCTCTAACAGACCTGCTATGGTCTACTGGCAAAATAGTACACCTTTTAAACAGCGTAAATATGTAACTGGTTGATCATGAATGCTTATTTCCATGATGGCCCTTTAATGGCTTTAATGGCCTTTTGTGTCAAGTCTCATATTTACTTTTTCTTGTTTTCATCATTTCGTTTCTTTTCAGAAATTAAAATTTGATGCATTTAAACTAACAATAATAACAAAGGTTGAAAACTCAAGATGGATGGTTCACAGGGCCCCTCCAAGACTGGAGGTTTTATTTTTTCTGTTTGCTTCTTTGTAGGTTCCTAAGTATCTCTGTGCATTCTGAATTCATACAAACAATTTCAAAAGCTAGAGTTCAACTAAGTTAAAATTGCTGGATTTGTCTGGCTTTCAGAGAAAACCAATAAACTAGATCAGCTTCTGTGAAATGTCAGTTCAATTTGCTCAAAAGCCTGGGAAACCTTCCCCAACTTTCAATTGCCCTCAGCTGAGTTTTTAAGTTTGTTACAAAAAGTTTTATATTCTAAACTACATTAAAACAACATCAAAATTAATCACCACCATGCCCACAACAGATCTTTTTGCAGGAACACACAGCTGCTGATAGGGCACTATACCAGTCAGCACCTATGTGCTAGTACAGCACAGATGCTTTCTCTGCCACTATTGTAAGGAGCCATTAGGAGCTAATCCTGTTTAATACATGATTCAGACCCAGATCCAGTGAGGGGGATCAAGGAATATTGATATTAAAATGAAAGAGGGAGGAATTTTCTTCTTTGAGAGAACAGTTGTGGGAGAGAGTTTTGGAAGGAAAGGAAAGGGGAAAAAAAAGGGCTTCACACAGTTTAACACTGAGATAGTGGAACACCCAAGAGGAAACTTAGAATTGTTCCTTCGGGGTATATGAGAAGAGTGGATGAAAGTAGATTGACAAGGTTCTTTGGGTGAATCTGATATCTTTTCTTAGACCAACTTAAATAATAAAAGATATCAGATTCACCCAAAGAACCTTATCTGCCTATGTCCTTAGACCAACACGGCTACAACCTACACCCCTGAAAGTAGATTAAATTACCCAGCAGAGTCATCCAAAGGGAGGATAACAAGGACAGAAGACTGAGGGATGCCACAAGAGATGGAGAGGAAGGAAAAGGGAAGCCACCAGGGAAAACTCCTTTGTTCATTATCCCCCAACTTCTTCTCCCTCCAGCTCCTTCCCCCCTGGCCTTACTGTTAGATCCTGCTTTCTGTAAGTACATGGAAGTGAGAAGCAAATTCGAAAAAACTGACCTTGAAAAAAAAATCTGTAGTAATTTGCATAAGTTACACATATGCTTAGCTCTTATAGAATTGATGCACATTATCTTTTTAAAAACTGCTGAAAGTTTAGCACAGATATTGCATAAACACATTTTTAAGTCTCACTTGGGCACCTATCTATATGTAATATAAACTAGGCATGATATTAGTCTAAAGTCAGAATGCTCAGGATTTACCATATAGTTCATTGGGATGGGTCCCAGCAGTTAACAGCATTTCAAGCCATGGTGACCCCACAGCTCAGCACTTTTCAGTGTGTGTGTGTACTCCAGATACTCCACAACAAAGACCCGTGTACTAATTAGCCCTCAACTGATGACTGGAACTGGGTGTTCTTGTCATGACGCCTGGGATTCTCCAAAAATTATATGCAGATGAAGTGCATGGTAACTTTGGCCAGCTCCACCTCATGGAGGGGAGGGCTATACTAATCATATGTGACAGTGTGAGAGAGGGGGCAATGGAAGGATTCTGGGTGAACTGTTTGAGGCCTCATTTCATCATGTTTGCCAGGCAGTTAAGCCTGGTGAAGAAACAGGAGTCATTGGAAATGGAAAAGGAAGGTACAGCTCAACAGTGGGAATGAAGAAGTCAGATGAATACAATGCAGTGGCTCACCATGACTTGAAAGAGACCTGGGGCTGAGGAGGAGTTCACTCAATGGGTACTACCATACATCTTATTCAGATGGATTGTACAAAGCCATTCTCTTTTGATAGGTTCCCATCAGTATATTTGTCCAATATAGGCCATGTATTCTATAGTCATGTTCAGTGTTGGCTGTGTTTAACTAACTGCACAGTTGGTTTCAATTACTGAGCACACGCTGCTTTTAATTTCAGTTCAAAGACAGACTCTATATTTAATGTGGTTTCCTTGTATATGAATGTAAGACAATTGCCTTTTTTCCTCATGTTGATTGGGAGAGAGGGGGGAACCTCATCTTGGATTCAAGTGAATGTGGCATTCTAATGGCTTTAAATCATTTCCTTTTTTTAACTTTAGAAGTATTAGAAAGATAAGTACATTATAGTTTCAATTAATGAACCAGGTTAAGGCAAACTTTAAAACTAACTAATCCTTGTATTTTTCCTACCTTGTATTAGAATTTTTACCTATTATTTCCCTGCAGTATTATATCATGCATTTTGGTTTATCCATATAGAAAATCTATATTTTCAAATTTGGCTGACTGTATTGCAAATGTTAGACACAAGATGGTGCCCAAACACAAGTGGATATGTAATATCTCAATGTTCTAATCTATCAACCTGAAGAAGGCACTTTTTTGCCAGAAAGCTTGTCTAAATTGGTCCAATAAAAGATATCACCAAAAAAACCTAGCTTCTCACCTGTTTCCTGAACTATCATGCCTCTGACAACATTCCAAACCTACTTTCTAATATAGGAATATGAATGGGCAGAAATAGTGGGGTATCAAATAACCTTCTGCAGGATCAGGATTTGTTTAATGTCTAGTATATCAAAATATGCAAATTTAACACTACTTCAATTAAATAAATTGAAAATATTTTATTGTTTCTGATGTTAGAAATTACATGACAATTTCTATAAATTGTTGAGGCAGACTTTAGTGATACCAGGTTCCAAAGCAGCCCAAGTCAAACTACTAAGAATCTATGGTCTCAATTCCTACCGGAAGTTTTAGCACTGGATTTTGGCTCTGTCATTTGCAATTTCAAACTATTACTATTTATTTTTAAGCCGTCTAAAATTAAGGCAGAAAAAAACAAGGGCCCGATTCCATCTCAACTAAGTAGAAAGCGTTCAAGTGCTGTCTCTTCTCTCCTGTTCAAGTTCCTTAAAATCAATTAATGCATCTACTTTGGTAATACTTAAGTCATCTTACTTTTAAGATTGAGCACAAAAAAGAGCAAGGAGAAAGAGGACCTATGTATCTTTTCTGCAAGCAGTTTCTCAGGGACTTGATCAGGGTGGCATAGCCTTCAGAATTACACTTCAATAGAGTACCTAGAGGTGAGACAGCTGGGCCCCAGCACACAGTGCTGGCTTGGGCCCCTGGCAAATGTTACACTTAAGACATGATTGACTTGTCTGTTTATAGCATCTAAAATAGTAACCCAGCCACATATTTGGTAATTAAGGGTGCCACAAAGAGGGAAACCATCCACAAACATATTACACAAAAAATGTGTAGTGTTTTTGTGGTTGGTTTCCATCAGTCCAACTTTGAAAGCATGGCAGTATAAGGAGTGCACTGAGCTCACCAACAGGCCCTAGAAAGCAGCTGGTTATC